CGACTTTTTTACGCCCCTCGGGCCGGGCTTCGGGCCAATTTTCACGTCATAGTTCAGACGCGGGCCAGGCCTCGGGCCTGTTTTAGGCTTCTCCTTATGTTTATATTTTAGACATCCATCAATTAGTGATGAAAAAATTGCCTCGCTAGTGGAAACAACACGAGACCGTGCTACCGAGACTGTCAAGAGCGGCTCGTCCTGCAAAGCGCGCTTCAGCTTCCACTCTATCCAAACTATTGGATACAGCGCACATTTATCTAGGTTTAACGTTTAAACATTGTTATATGCTTGAACTGTTTTATGTCTATAGATTTTATTTTAGTCAAGTCGTGATGACTTGAGAAGGCTAAATTGATCAAACGCTCACTGTCTGCCGCTGGCCACTTGGTCGTTACTTTAAATGTGTAACGTTAATTGGGCTATGTGAGTACTGCTCATGTCTGAAAATAATATATGAAAAACAAAATTATTTTACATAAAAACATTAGGCTATAGCTTATATTTATTTAGTACATTTTTAAATTAATGTAAAAACTAAAATGAATTGTAAAACTGAAAGTATTTTTTTTAAATTGTGTTAAAGCACGGTGGGCCGCATTTGAATTCGTGACGGGCCGCGAGTTGAGAACCACTGGTATAAACCTATTAATTGGGTAACGGTAAGTTCCCCTTCTATATATGGTAAAAAAAACTGTAATGGACATGTCATGTAATTTTACAGTAAAATACAGTTTTTGGAAGTGAAAAAGAAGGTATAATTTACGGTGAAAAACCGTAAATTGACTTTCCCAGAATTCCCTGTGTTGCATTTCACATTTTGTTTTGTTTTTTCGTTGAAATAACTTTTTCTTAGCAGTTATGTTCATTAGGGTTGTAAGTTACATCTAATGTTGTTAAATTAATGTTTATTTGCATTACGTTAGTGTCGTGTGTTACCATGATGGTGTTTAGTATTAGTGTAAATGACCTTCTATATACAAGTATTTTCCTTCTCAGCCTATGAAAAAGCTGTTAGTGATGAGCTTTGATTAATACATTGTCTCTATCGATTAACTGAAATGTTAGTACATAATGGCTGAAAACACTTTTTCCACATTTTCATTACTTGAAAACTAAAAATACAACAAAACTAACTAAAATATAAAATGAAAATTGAATTCCAAATATTAACAAAAACTATAATAATAATATATCAATGTATAATCAATAGCCTATATATCAATACAAAAATAACACTGGTTTGCATTTGGGTTTGAGTACTTGTGTAGAGTACGTTTCTGGTCTGAGCACTTTATTTTTAATTTGTGATGACGTTTTATTTTATTTTATTTTTTCTTTTACAAGACATGACTCTTTTCTCTGTAGCCCCCTAAAAAGCAGTATGTTAACTACAAAATGTATCAACAAATGATAAAAGAACAGAAGATGAAAGCCAAAGAGGAAGCAAAATCTGTAAGTACAACATTTAACATTTGAATGATTCTTATATGATTGCTTTTTAAACCACTTGACGACTTCTGCAGTATGTGCAATCTTTCCACTAACTTTTCTTCTTTGGGTCTTTTGTCAGGAAACACAGAAGAAAAGAAGGAAAGAAGGGAAATCAAGGTTTGTGTTTATGATTTGAACTCGATGACATTAAGTCCATCTTCTGTTGTTCTCCAGGTGTTGTCATTTAAATGATATTGGTTGTAGTTTGCTTGTGCTTAATTGTATTCAGTTGCATTTGTGAAATTTCAGCACAATTTCAAAAAGGTCTTTTCAATAATGCATGAAGCACAACTCACACAGAAGTCACTTTTAAACCAAGTAGCTTTTCTTAATGCAGCGAACTTGCATGAACACGAGCAAAATCTGGGAAACTTTTTTTGCCCACAGATTCCTATTGAATTTTGAACACTGAACACTTTCACAGTCAAGATATCAAGTCATTGTTTTTGTAATTTGTGTTGTCTTTTTGACTTTTCAGGACTGAGAAAAGTAAATCGTCATCTAGCGGAGAGCTTGGTGGACAAGTTGGACGCTTCAAAAACGGAATGCTGGTCTTGAGCTCCAAAGACGTTCAGAAATTTAAAGTTAAAGTGAAAAAGTGAATGAGCGACTGTTTCTGAATCTTCAGAAAACCCAACCACTTTCAAAATGCAAGAACATTTTAATATGTATAGAATATCACATTTTGACTGAAATTGAAATATGCCATACTTTACCACAGTCATTTCCCTATGGAACATTTACAATGCCCTTACTGTTTATTTGTATTATTTTGGTTTCTTCACTTTGGTGTGTTTGTACTACAGAAATAAATTATGGCTCAATTAGCCAAGCTTATTAATGTGTACATTTACATATGGTTTGACAGTGTTTAGGGATCCTGTCTATAGACCCAAACATCTTAGCGACCATATAGCAGCATGTTTAAAAACACGTAAATCTCCTCACTAGCAGCGCATTTGGCATGCATAATTTCTTCAGAAAGTGTAAAAGTGTACTTTTATTTACAATAAATAATGCTGTAACCCTGCTTTTCTGTATGGCTAAAAACTTGATATAATTTAAGTGGTGTGAAAAAAAAAAAATAAAGACACGTGGATCACAGTTTTATTGTTTATTAAAAGGGAAAGACCGTTTTTCTTCTACACTAAGTAGTAAGAAAAGAATGTCATATACAATGTATTTGATATACAAACCACAAAGATGTACAAAAATCACATTAGGGAGAACTCAAGATCACATACAGAAGAAGAGCCCCGAAAACACACACACACATTAGTTTCCTTCTAGGAAGAGGATGATGATGATACGCAACGCTAGGGCTGTGTCTTGTGTCAGCTGATCAATGCAAAGACTCATCTGAGAAACTCATCTGTCTTTCCTTTCCAAACTTTTCATAATGAGATCATTTGAGGGCCAAACACCTGACTAATGTACATCCACATAGGTAATATGCTGTATATAGAAAAATAAATCTTTAAAAACTTGGTACAGTGGCAGATTTTCTGTTATTGAGACTACAGAATTATTATTTTTTTCTGATGATGGTCACACTCGCAGGCAGTCGTTTTCACCATACGACTGTTTAACAAACACCTCAAGACCACTTCATTTTGTGTGCTTTCAAAAGAATTTCAAAAAATGGGATTGCGCGGTATGTTTCTGAAAAATAAGAAAGAATAAATGCAATGGAATTCATCTGTGCTTTCTGTTGATGGTTGTTTCTTCAACTTTGGCCACTTTTATGTCCAAAAGTATTATGTTAACTTTGTTATATGATGGATCACATTAAAACGGTCATTTTTCCATGCCTTCATTTATTTTTTGGTACTTTTACAACTCCATTTATCCATAGATTTTGATTTACCCTTGTCCCAGATCCTTGTCCCAGAATGACTATATTTATGCCTTTTCAGCACTCATTTTTCAATGCGCGTCTTTAGTAATTCCTGACAGTAGTTTTTTTAACACCAAAAGATTGTTTGCGCTGGAGCAAGCCGTTCGTAAATGTGGCCCTAAAATTCTAAAACCTATGATTATCTAAAAAGAAATGAACACACTATTTCATTATTTATTGTGTGAAAATTACTAACACAACCAACAATTTTGCCCCCAATAAAGAGCTGGGTTTGTCCCTTTTTAACCCAGCGCTGGGTTATATGTAACTCAGCATTTTTTAGAGTGTACAGTATACATGTGAAAAATGAAAAAAATAAATAAATATCGCTGCATGTTTATTGTGTCATGTTATTTTGAGCAATTAGCATATAAAAAAAAAGCATGAAAATATTATCTAATTGTATTTAGGATACAAAAAATGGTAGCCATAAAATTAGCCTTAGCAAGACAGGCCATTATATTCTAAAATGTTTCAAATGTTATTTCCATTTGAGATGAGATGGGATGAGATTACATTTGTTGGTTTAAAAAATTGAAAGTTCACAGGGCAAAAGGTGGCCACAGTTGAAGAAATTCTCAGCAAACTGTGAGTGAATTTTGTTTCATATTCAATACATGACCAGTGATTCTATTATCTACATTGACATAACATTTTAAATATACTTTAATACAAACAAAAAAAATCCATTGTGATATTTAAAATGACATGTTAAAAAATTAATTCAGCAATATAGATCCTTTTGGGCGGATGGCAGGTTTGCAGGCGACACCCACACAGTCATTATAAACTGGATTTAAAGGAATGTTCAAAGTTCAGGTTTAGCTATTCATCCGTTTCAGAGTACATGACTTTCCGGCTCATCATCTATAATTAAGAGCATTAGCAAGTATTGGCTTAGAACATGAAAACACATGAACAGAGAAAAAACCGCTGAATGGTTTTGATCCATACTAGGTCTCAGAAAACATTTCAGATATTTACATATATTTAATCCACTTTATATCTTTGTATATGGGTGCTTTCCATATAATGGTACACTCTAAAAAATGCTGGGTTAAATACAACCCAGTGCTGGGTAAAATAGGGACAAACCCAGCAATTGGGTTGTTTTGACCCAGCGGTTGGCTTAAATGTTTAACCCAACCTTCTGGGTAGTAACCCAACCGCTGGGTCAAAACAACCCAATTGCTGGGTTTGTCCCTATTTTACCCAGCACTGGGTTGTATTTAACCCAGCATTTTTTAGAGTGTACTACATACAGAGATTATGGAATAAACATATAGAAATGTCTATGAAGGTTATTTGGTATCGGCTAACCCAGGGTTGCCAGGTTTTCACAACACAACCTGCCCAATTGTTACTCAAAACTAGCCCAAACGTGTTTCAAGCGGGGTTCCCCGGTAAAAATTGCGTTGCGGGGGGTAAAATACACGTTTTTCGGAGGTGGTTCCTCCAGTAAAATTCGCATTCCAGGGCCTGAATATCACGTTATTGGGGGCGCTTCAACCCGCGGACATGAAAAACAACCCGCGGCAACAGTGTTAAAAGGGGTCATATGATGCGATTTCAATTTTTCCTTTCTCTTTGGAGTGTTACAAGCTCTTGCTGCATAAAGAAGATCTGTAAAGTTGCAAAGACTAAAGTCTCAAATCCAAAGAGATATTCTTTATAAAAGTTAAGAGTCAGCCACGCCTACCTAAAAAGGCTCGTTCTAACACACCCCCACATGTCTACGTGACAATGTGGGAAGATTTGCATAACGCCGCCCAAATGTTCACGCAAAAAAAGAAGGCGTAACTTTTATTCTCGCTGTAGTATTGTTGTTGCCGCCGCCGCCATGTCGTGGAGGCGCTGTGTGTTTCGTTGTGAAAGCGAAACTACTTTGTTTGGTCTTCCAAAAGAGGACGATATCCGCTTCGTCATGCCTAGAGCTGATCCGTGCTGGTTGCTGAGGAAATAATACAACTTTGCATTGTCGATCGCCGGATCGGCTTTCACCGTGGAAGAAGTGGAGTGCAGCCCGGGGTCGTCACATGTGGTTGCCACTCCTTCGTCGGATCCGCCAGCCGCGCCGTTCTCAACCCCACCACCTCTGCTCACTCTAGCCCGGCCTCAGCTCACGCTAAGCCGCGGCTTCAGCTCACGCTAAGCCGCGGCTTCCTCTCACGCTAGGCCGCCGTGTTTTTCGTTGTGAAAGCGAAACTACTTTGTTTGGCCTTCCAAAAATG